CAGTTTGTCGTACTGTGGAGGCTTGCGTGTTGCTGTGATGCTGGGAAGTTATGCTACCGGTATTCATATACCAGCAGGGTCACCCATGGCAGACAGGTTTCAGCTGAGCTTCCAGACTAAGAAAGATCTTTAAAGAAGCAGACTGCCAGTTCTTTCTCCCTTGGAGTGGTTTGTGGGTGCAAGTAGCTGAACTTTTTGTTAGCAGCAGAACACTTAACCACTGTGCCACAGGGCTCCTTATTTGGAGGGCAGGAGGGGGTTATAATTCAGCACACCACAATGGGTTAGAATATTTTCCCATAGAAACAATATCTTACATCATGGTGGTCTTTCTGGAGCCTCAATGAGATTTAAGCATTTAGGTCCTGAGTTTTCTTACCCTTGGTTCATTCATCCCTCCTCCTGAACCACCTATTCCCAGACTTGGCCTGTCCTGATGTAGAGATTTCATTAGGGTCAACATTGAGAGACCATCGTTTTGCTTCTGTGGACAAATCTGACAGTGAACAAGAGCCCAAAATGGAAAGCCCTTAGGCTGGAGGCCCAGGCAAAACGTTTCATACAGCAACAAGGTCCACATGCCAAACCATCAAGTAAATTTTAATCCATAATGCATCTGAAACATATGTCTATACTGAATTATGTTTTAATGGAAAAGTGCAATTCTGAATTACAGTATGGACAGCCAGTTACATGGTTACTTCAAATCAGCGTAATATAGAATTTTTCTTTTCTGCAAGATTATATCACTCTGACTTTAAGTCACAGAGGTCATCACATAAAAACATGAATGTCTGTTTGTTTTGACTTATAGAGCAGAAGACTGAGTTATTCCCCCAGTTATTGTACTTTATTAGTCTTTAAAAAGTCTATAGCTTTTTCTTTTTTTTTATATTCCTTTGTGTCCCCATTCCACTCATCATTACCCTTTAGGGTGACAAATATGTATCAATATATACTTGCATATGTATTTATAATTTTATATCCATGCATTTTTTATTTCCATAACTAGTTTTCTGTCATATATCACACCCTAAGTTTTTTCATTCAGCTGTATTTCTGTGATCCATCCATTCTTCTACACGTAATTTGTTGCTTCTAACAGCTAAACATTACTCCATGGCATGCAACCACCATTTTTACAATGCTCTCTCCATGATAATCAGATTGCCACCAACTTCCCACCTCTACAAGTAGTACTGCAATGGATATTGCAGGGTCATCAGATATTCATGTCCTTAATGATGCTCCAAAGGTGTATTCCCATCTGCACGCCATAAGAATTTCTATGTTTTCTAACTTTTGCCAGACTAATAAGTAATAAAGTAATATCTGATATTATATTTCTGATTTCTAATGAGATGTACATATCTTCATGTCATTTAAAAAAAAATTTCGATTTCCTCCTCTGAAAATTTTCCTTATTCATTTTTTTAACCATTTTTTCTATTAGCGTTTATTTATTCTTCTGGGCTTGCAGAATTTTACACATTTATAAATATCATCTCTCCTTCTGTTAACAGTATCTGTAGCATCTGTCCTTTGTTTAAGAGAAGTTCATCATTTTGGTGTAATCAAATTTATCCATTCTTTACATTGTAATCAAAATGATCCATTTTTATACTCTATGGTTGTGCATTTAAAGTTTTTTCTATGTCACTAATCATAAAGATATTCTCTCATATGTTGAATTTTATAGTATTACTTTGACATTTTTGTCTTTATTCTACCTAGAATCCACCTTTACATTTGGCAGCAATTAGTAAGCCAGATTTATTTTTCTACTTATAGCTAGCCAATTTCCCAACACCATCTTCTAAACAATCCACAGTGATTTGTGGTGTCATCTTCACCGAATATTTGCCACATGTACGTAGGTCTGCCTCTGAGCTCTCTCTCTGCTAAGCTGCATTAGTTTATGTGCTCTTCTGCCAATGCCATATGATTTTATTTCTATAGCTTTGTTAGCAATATTTTATGAGGTATGGTTTTCTTTCTATAGCTTTGTATTATTAATATTTAATGAGGTATTTCCCCCTCCCCACTTTTCTTAAGGTTGATTTAGTCATGTGGAATTTTATACTTGATGTAAATTTTACAGTGAATTTACTGAGTTTGTCTCAAACAAATCCATCTGGAATTTTAATGGGGATTGTTTCAAATGTATAGATTAATTTGGGAGAGAGTTAACCTGTTTGTAATATCCATTCAATTCAGATCATGAAATACCTTTCCAGATTTCAGTTCATCTTCTACACCCTTAATTTGAGTTTTAAAATTTTCTTCATACAGGTTTTATCTATTCTTAAGCTATTTCTAGA